TTGTGTATCCATGCACAAGAAGAAAAAAGCAACTCAGATACACAAATTTATACAAAATATACCTCAGAATGGATCACAGACTTAAATTAGAAAACTATTTAACATTTAGAAGACAATACAGAAAAAACATCTTAGAATTTAGGATTAAGCAAAGCACTACCAATTTTATATTCCTTTAGTGTGACTTTCCGCTTAGGGTAGGTATTGGTCTGCTAAGTGTTTTTCTCAAGTATTCTGGCTCGACCCTCAGCTTTAGGCATTCTCTGTGCACCAGCCCCAAAGAAGCTCTCTACATATTCTTGTCTCTCCCTCAGGCGTAGACTGCTGCTATTTACCTTGACAGCAGCAACACGGAGATTTTCTGTCCTCCTGGCCCCATGTCAGGCTCAGGTAGCACCTCTATCTTGGGTTTCAAGGGCTGACACTTTCTCTCAGGGACAGAAAAAACACAGATGATCTAAGTCCATAAAGTTTCCTGCTGTCCCCTCAGGATTTTAGATTTTCTTTTTATCATTTTACCCAGACACAATAGAAAACTGTGTTTATATCCCCCCACCATGCACACACACACAACCAAAGCTCTTTTTTCTACAGGAGAAAAGGGTCTTAACAGGCTTGTAACACCTACGGAGGCCATCATCTTTCTCATGAACAACTGCTGAAGGTCCTTGGAAGAAAGCCTACAAGAAGGTGTAAAAACTCATGTCTGCCTCTCCCAAGCATTTTATACATGCTAGCCTAGACTTAGACTTTAGCAATTCACTAGAAATTTAGACCTTCTCCATGTGAGTCCAGCAGTGTCACTGCCATGCCACTGCCTGGCCCCAGCCCTGCCTTCTTTGTGCTATCCCACAGGTGAGCCATGCCTAACTCCTATCTCAATGGAGTGAAGAAAAATTGTGATTTGGGGGAAGCAGCAGTTAGCGTAATGGCTATGTTGCTGGACTCCCACGTAGTCGACCGTGGTTCGCGTCCCGGACCCGGTGGCTTAAAACTCACACCGGGCACGTGTACGTGCATGCCCAAGATCCCGAGAGGAGAATAGAGGAGAAGGGATTACGGTGTGACCGTCCCCCCTGGGGGGTGATTTCTCACTTTCTGTCTCTATGTCTCTCTCTGTCTGTCTGGCGAGCGCACGCGCCCTATTGCGAAAACCTCTCCAAAAAAAAACCGTTGTAATTTGGGAGAGTATAAAACTTTTGTTTTAGAATAAAAGCAAAACTCTTTCCAGTTTTCTGTATCCCAGATAAAGGTCAGAAATCTGCCCCAGGATTTTACATACACCCTATGTATTCACAACTTCTAAACTTACGCTTCTAGTCTAGACCTCTCCTGGGACCCCAGACTCACATATATCCAACTGCTTACCGTACAAATCTACCTGGATGGTCTGGCAGACAGATTTCTTTTTTATATAATTATTTTATTTTATTCATCATCATTATTATTATTTTTAATTTGACCAGAGAGAGAGAGAGAGAGAGAGGGAAAGTGGGAAAGCAAGCCACCAGGTCCAGAACTCAAACCATAGTCGACCATGTGGGAGTCCAGTGCCTCAATCACCACGTTACCTGCTGGCCCTTGGCAGGCAGATTTCATGGTAGCTGTCATGGCCTACGTCTTGTGTTCCTGCCTTAGTATAATCTTCTGTGTTTGAGTATGTGAGGGACTCAATGACTTGTTTCTATCCAGGAAAATAAGGCAAAGATGATAGGATGGCATTCCCTCGCTTAGGTTATGTGAAAATACCTTGCACGGGGACATTCTCCTGTTGGACTTAAAGCAGCAGGCTGTCATGTTGTGAACTGCCAATGAAGAAGGGCCACATGCAAGAGAACTGCAGGCACCTCTAGGAGCTGAGGACAGTTCCAACAGATTGCCAACAAAAAACCCAACCAAGCTCAGTCCTGCAACAACACTAAAATGAATTCTGCCAACAACATAAGTGAGGTAGGATGTGGATTCTTCTCCAGGCTCCAGATAAGAACCCTAGAGACTTGGTGAGACCCAGAAGCAAAGAACTTAGCTAAGAAGTGCTATATTCCACAGAAAATGTGCGATAATAAATCTGTGTTGTTTTAAGCCAGGTGTGGTAATCTGTTTTGTGTAGAAAACTAATACAGACAGTATTACAGACTTAACATACCTAAAAACCAAATTCCTGATTACCAATATCCCCCCACCCAAAAAAATCCTATGTTGTCCATTTTAGTAAACAAAAATTCCACTTTTACATTTTACTCAAGCAAAAACTGTAGACTCTATCTTTTCTTAAGTATATTTATTCTGTCTGCGAGTCAGAGAGACAGACCAAGAGGGAGAGAAAGTACCTCCACCAGGGTCTTGACGCCATGATCCACCCCAGCCTGGGCTAGCCTTAGATCACAGGCACATGTGTGCCTGGAGCATTCAGTGGCCTACAGAAACAATCCTGGAAACTTCCCAAGTGGATCAGCCTTGCAGAGCATCGCATTCACTTCTGTGCCACATCTAGCCCCTGTGGACTCAATCTTGACTCCTCTACTCCTCTCATTCTCTAAAACTCCACATTTAACCCATTGGCTTTAGAACCACTAAGTAGTCAGAATCTAAGGTTACCTTGCCACCACCAACACTATCTTGGTCCAAGCCACTATCCTCTCATACGTATTTTCCTGTAAAGCCTCCTGATTTTCCTGCTTCTACTCCACAAAGTAGTCAGAGTGATCCTTTTAAGATCTCAGTCAGCTAATATTTTTACTCAAAGAATTCCCATTTCACCCACATTAAAACACAAAAATCTGGGCCAGCAGGTGGCATGGTGGTTGGGGGTGCTGGACTCCTATATGGCCGACTGCAGTTTAGGTCCTGGACATGGTGGCTTGCTTTCTCACTCTCTCTCTCTCTCTCACTGTGTCCATCTCTGGTCAAATAAAAATAAGGAAACAAAGTTAAAAACAAACAAACAAACAAACAAAAAACCTTACAGGGGCTTATAAGGCCTACATAATTTGGGACCATCTCTTCCCACCCTAACCCTCTGCCTCATTTTTATTAGTCTTTTCTTATTCATCCCTCTCCCACCACAATGGCTCCCTGATAGTTTTAAGAACATACGAGTCTCAGAATTTTATAACTGATGCATATAATTAAAAAGGCACTGGGGAGGCCGGCAGGTAGTGCGGTGGTTAGGGGCACTGGACTCCCACATGGCTGACCATGGTTTGAGTCCCTGACATGGTGGCTTGCTTTCTCACTTTCCTTTCTCTCTCACTCTCTAGCTCTGTCCCTCTCTGGTTGAATTAAATAAACAAAGCTAAATAAGGTAATTTTTTTAAAAAAGGCATTGGGACCAGCAGATGATATAATGATTACATTACTGATCTCCCATATAGTCAACTCCTGTTTGAGCACCAAACCAGGAGGATTAAAATACTCTGATTATGACCACAATCTCTAGAGGAGAATGGAGGAGAAGGGACTGCAGTGGGGCCATCCCCACTGCGGGGTGATTTCTCGCTTTCTATCTCTCTGGTGAGCGCACATGCCCTAACAAAACAAAACAAACAAACAAACAAACAAAAACAAACAAAAAAACAAATGGCATTTCTGGGGACAGCAGGTGGCATAAAGGTTACATCACTGGACCCCCCACTTGACTGACTGTGGTTCAAGTCCCAAGCCCAGTGGCTTGAAACTCACATCAGGCATGCACGCATGTGTGAGAGAGCGAGCAAGCGAAGAATGGAGAAGGGATTATGGTGTGGCCATCCCCTCCCTGCCTGCCCCCAGAGATGATTTCTCACTTTTCCTCTCACCGTCTCTACCTCTTTCTCTCTCCAATGAGTGAACGCGCCCTAAGGCCAAAACCTCTAAAATTAAAAGGCATTTCCTCAGACAGGATTTCTCTGACTACCTGTACAAAAAGGGTAAGGGTAGTCAAACTCTCCTTCCCCCATCCCCAACAAGTCCCTATCCCTCTAACCCTGCTTTCTTAGTCTCCCTAGCACGTATTATACCAATCTTACCTGTTTTTAATCTTTTTATTTCATTCATGATAGACTGTGTGTGTTCTTGCACATGTGTAACAGTACGCACAACAGGGTATCATGCTGTGATCCCCTTCTTCCAGCCCTTAGCTCATCAGGAGCTTGGGCGCTCACATATGCACATCCCTCAGTATGTTTCCAGATCAGCCGGGCTGGGTCGGTCAGCCATGTGGCTTCCAGAATGAAGTCCAGTATCTTACTGACTGTGTCATGAAGGCTGGGCCTGATAACCTGATAACTTTTTGTTGCTTATCTCTCCAAAATTAGAATGTAAGTTCCATGACAGCTGAGACTTTTGTTCAGTGCTATAGCTCTAGCTTATACTAAAACATATGTTAGCTACTTATTTCTTTACAGAATTTTGGCTAATAAGGTAGCCAAGTCATAAGAATTTGAATACAGTAACTTTTTTCCAAATCACTATAAAATGACTTATCATTTAGACATATACTTATTCTACTTCACTGTAAATATATATGCTTTTGAGGAAACCTGGAAAACATTCACAGCTAATCAAAATAACTAAAATATACAAGTAAGCTGAAAGAATTAAAACTGTGAGGCTAGCTAGTGGTATGGTGGCTTAGGGGACTGGATCCCACATGACTGACATTGCAGTCAGAGCCCTGAACCCAGCAGCATGAGAAACACGCTGGTGCACCGTGTATGACCTGAACCTGCTATGTTCTGTTAATACTAAAATCTACTGGTCAGTCCCGAAATCTACTTTGCCAAGTCTTGAGAAGTACACACTAAAACTCTAAATATATCATGTGTAAAAGAAAATAAAACTGAACAGTCTTGATAAGATATTTAAATCAAACCCCATTCCTTCTTCATATTTCAGCATTTACAGTCTTTTTAATTTGGCTCTGTTTAAAACTTTAGTTATAAGAGGTTTGAAACAACAGATTAATCTGCATATAAAATATCCCTAACTAGACTCAGTATTTTGACTGGTCCATGCCTTACCTGTTGGGCGATATGAGAAATATGTGCTCCCTGTACCGTTGAGCCCGGCTGAGATGTTGTCTCTGAAGTGTTATTCTTGTGAGAATCTTCCATAATCAACTACAATGAAAAATAGTAAGATAAAGTAAAAAGTGCTACAGAATATTTACAGTATACTATACAGTGATGTACAAATTGGTAATTTGGGGCCCAGTCGTCTAGCGTTTAAAAGCCAAATCCCACATGGCAACCACAGTTTAAATCCCAGCCCCTGTGACTTGAAAAACATGCCAAGCACATGTGTGCTTGCCCCAAATCTCAAAAGGACGGAGAAATGGAGAGGAGGAGATTATGGCATGATCATGCGTCAATGAGGAGTCCTTTCTCCCTCTTTCTCTCTGTTTCTCTCTTTCTAGAAAACGACATGCCGCATTCTGATTAAAAAAAAGAAAAAACCCTGATAATCTGGTTGCCTGCATAGAAGAGGACTGGTAGCTACAGAACAGAGATAGAAAAGTTTTACTTGTATAGTCTTTTACATTTTTTAAATCTGGCCCACGAGAACGGGCTTAAATGGAATAAATGTCATATATGTACATAAATTATTGTGACTAAACTCTCAAATGTTATCTCACTCAAGAACTATGATAGTCGTTCTGTCCATGAACACAAGTATTCCTCTCTCCAGTCTAGAGAATAGTTCCAAATTGTACATACAGTTTTATATAGAAAATGCAAGTAAAAGTTGAACAAAAAATAAATAAATAAATAAAACTATACCTGAGGAAGATCTACAGATAGAGAAGACCTACTGGTTTGTCAGAAAAATACATCATGACTTTTCTGATGCCCTAATAGATAATCAACTGCAGGATTCATAGGCCAGGTAGTGAGAATAAATAGGTTATGAGAAGTCAAATATGTCAAATGGGAGAAACTAACAAAGAGACTGGAAAAAAGATTAGGGTAGCATTTAAGATTTTCATGGTTACATGCAAAGACAAGAGAGAGACGTGGCCAGAAAGTAAGTGAAAAAGATATTCAACATCACTGAAATCATTAGAGAGATACAAATTACCAGAAGATACCACCTTAAACCCTCTAGAATAGCTAATATCAAAACACAAAAAATAGGGCCAACAGGTAGTGTGGAGATTAGGGCAGCTGGATCCCATATGGCCAACTGCATGGTTTGAGCCCCAGATCAGGCAGCTTGAATGGATTGTAGTGTGGCCATCCCCGTGTGTGTGTGTGTGTGTGTGTGTGTGTGTCGGGGGGTGTGTGTGTGATTTCTCGCTTTCTACACTTGATTTTAGCCAAAAGGTCGAGACACACACACACACACACAGTGCATGGGCCCTATGGTAAAACTAAATAAAATAAAAACCAAGTGCTAGCAAGGACATGGAGAAACTAGAAGTGTTGAGCACTACTGTGCTAGTGGGAATGTAAAAGGGTACAGTTTTTATAAAACTATGAGGTTGTCGGAAAAGTCATGACACATATATAAAAATGTGTCATGATTTTTCCGACAACCCCATAGTTTTTCTATTTTTTGGAGAGGTTTTTGCTATAGGGCACGTGCGCTCGCCAGAAAGACAGAAAGAGACAGAGAGATAGAAAGCGAGAAATCCCCCCCCCCCCTGGGGGGAATGGCCATGCCGCAATCCCTTCTCCTCCATTCTCTTCTTGGGATCTTGGGCACACACGCACACGCACCTGGCATGACTTTAAGCCACCAGGTCCGGGACTCAAACTGCGGTCCACTATGTGGGAGTCCAGTGACATAGCCATTACGCTAACTGCTGGTCCCAACCCCAAAGTTTTCATATGTAAAAATGTGTCATGAGTTTTCTGACAACCCAATAGCATGAGAGTTCCTTAAAACATTATAAACAGGGGCCAGCAGGTGGCATAGTGGTTGAGGCACTGGACTCCCACATGGCCCACCAAGGTTGAAGTCCCAGAAAGAGCAACTTGAAACTCACACTGGGTGGGACCAGCAGTTGGCTTAATGGCTATGTTGCTGGACTCCCATGTAGTCGACCATGGTTTGAGTCCTGGATCCAGCGGCTTAAACTCATGTCAGGCGCATGTGCGTGCGTGCCCAAGATCCGAAGGGATGGCAGTGTGGGGTGTGCATGGGTACCCAAAATCTGGAAAGAAAGGAGAGATGGAGAACGGTCTATGACCGTTCCCCACAGGGGGTGTTTTCTCATTTTCAACCCCCTGGGGGGATGATTTTTTACTTCCTGTCTCTCTCTTGTCTTTCTGGCGAGCGCACATGCCTTATAGCAAAAATCTCTCAAAAAAAAAAAATTAAAAGAATTACCAAATGATCCACCAATTTCACTTGTTGGGTATGTACATCCAGAAGAATTGGGCCAGCAATGGTATGGTGGTTATGATTGCTGGATCCCACATGGCTAGTTGCCAGAGACCAGAGGAAAGAGAAATGGAGAACTGTTTAATGAACATGAAAAAGTTCAGGATATTACCTGCATGACAAAGTCAGTATTGGCATAGCAGTTATGCCTCTAGACTCCCATATAGCTGAATGCCGTTTGAGTCTCAGAACCAGTGGCTTCAAAATCATGCTGGGCACATGTGCATGTGTGCCCAAGATCCCAGGAAGAATGGAGAAGGGATTGTAGCATGGCCATCTCCCATTGGGACTGATTTCTCACCTTCCCTCTCACTGTGTCTGTCTCTCTCCCTAGCAAGCACGTGTGCTCTAAGGCAAAAAAATCTCTTAAAAAAAATTTACAATAGTAAATTTTATGTTACGTGTCTTTTACCACAATTAAAATTTTGTTTTATTTTTGTTTTGTTTTGTTTTTAAGTAGGGTGCACACACTCAGGAAAAGGGGAAAATGAGAAAACATCCCCTGTGGGGAATGGTCACAGACCCTTTTCCATCTCTCCCTTCTTTCCAGATCTTGGGTACCCATGCACATATGCCTGGCATGTTTCTCAAGCTGCGTGGTCCAGGATTTGGACTGTATGGTCAGCCATATGAGATCTGGCTGCCTTAGCCACCAGGCCATGAAGTTGGCCTAAATTTAAATGTTTAAAGAAAAAGAGAAAGAAGGCAACTAGGTATCTGCTCCTTAAAATCACACACTTGGGACCAGCAGTTGGCATAACGGCTATGTCGCTGAACTCCCATGTAGTCGACCATGGTTCAAGTCCTGGACCCAGTGGCTTAAACTCATGCCGGACACATGTGCATGTGTGCCCAAGATCCGGAAAGGAGAATGGAGAAGGGATTGCGGTGTGGCCATCCCCCTGGGGGGTGATTTCTCACTTTCTGTCTCTCTGCCTCTCTCTTGTCTTTTTGGTAAGCGCACATGCTCTATAGCAAAAACCTCTCCAAAAAATAAATAAATAAATAAAATCACAGACTTAACTATAAAGTTTAAGCCTACATATTCTTTCTTTTGTCCTTTTGAAATCAGAAAACAGAAATTCATTTTTGAAAAGTTTATTTAAAAAATCCCAGCCTCAGCCACTTCTACGGGTGTGCCTGGTTTATTCAACTCAAGGAAGTCTCTATACTTGAAACTGGAACATTCCTACGTGGGACTGCCTTGCAGTGTCACCTTTTATGGCTGTGCCACTGTCTGACCACCAGAAATTCATGATTAACATCTGGTTTGAGGGGCCGGCAGGTGGCATGGTGGTTAAAGACTCCAGATTCCAACGTAGCCAACCGCGGTTCAAGTCCGGGACCTGGTTGCTTGCTTTCTCACTTTCCCTCTCTTGCTCCTTTTCTATCTCTGATCAAACTGGAAAATGATAATAATAATAAAGTTAAATAAAACAATTCCCTTAAAATTTTGATTGAATCTATTGTTCTTAAGTATAAAAAAAGCACTGCATACATAAAATAACTTTAATAATTTTCCCTCTTAAGTACGTCCCTTATCTTTTTTTCTAACATGGAAAATACACAGAAAAAAGGATGACATGTCTTTTTTTAATTGCCAAAGGGCACAAACACTTGCCAAAGAGACAGAGCGAGGAGGAGAAAGCAACCCCCAGTGGACATGGTCACACTACAATTCCTTCTCCTGTTTCTCCATCCTGCTGGGAATTTAGGAACACATGCACACATGCCTGGTGTCATTTTCAAGCTGCTGAGGCTGGGATTCGAGCCATACAATGGCCATTTGAGATCCAGCTCCCTTAATCATGAAGCTATGGGGCCTGACCCTAGGATGACTTGACTTTTTCTTTTAAGTCTGCTTCAGAGAGCACAAAAGCAAGAAATCACCCACACCACAATTCCCTCTCCTCCATTCTTCTCTAGGGATTTTGGACACACGTGCATATCTGCCGGCCTAGATGACAAATCTAATCACAGTATTGTCTAATGTCTTTTTCGTAGCCTATTTCCACTGTTTTAAAAAAGTCATAGCCGGGCCAGCCTGTGGCATGTTAGTTAAGGTGGCTGGATCCCATATGTCCAACTGCACAGTACAAGTCCCAGATCCAGTAGTTTGAGAAATATGCCAGTCACATGCGTGTGTGCCCAAAATCCCAAAAGGAAGGAGAACTGAAGGAAAGACTGAGGTACAACCATACCCCACGGGGGCTGCTTTCTTTTTTTCTCTCTCCCTCTGGTCAGGGCACATACTCTCTGGCAAAACTCAAAGAAAAGCCATAACAATACTATAGGTACAATTATATATATATTTTTTTTTTTTGAGAGGTTTTTGCTATAGGGTGCATGCGCTCACTAGAAAGACAGAGACAAAAAATGAGAACTCACCCCCCAGGGAGGATGGCCATACTGTAATCCCTTCTCCTCCATTCTCCTCTCACGATCTTGGGCACGCATGCACATGCGCCTGGTGTAAGTTTAAGCCTCCAGGTCCGGGACTTGAACTGTGGTCAACCACAAGGAAGTCTAGCAACAGCCATTATGCCAACTGTTGGTCTCTACATGTACAATTTTTTATCCTTACATTGTGTATCATTTACACTTTGTTTCCTTTATCACCAATAGTCTCCTTTCTTAAAAATTGATTTATTTAGTTTTAATTTGACCAGACAGGGATAGTGTGTGTGTGTGTGTGTGTGTGAGAGAGAGAGAGAGAACCGAAGTGAGAAAGCAA